GCCCAGGAGTTGGAAGTTGCTGTGAGCTGTGAAGTCACGGCACTCTACCCAGGGGGATAGCTTGAGGCTCGTCTCAAAAAAAAAAAAAAAAAAGAATTTAGAATAAGTATATCTTTAACTTAAATTCAGTGATAAATAGTACCATATTTTGTTGTGTATAACATTCTCCCCTGTATAATGCACACCCATGTTTTTGGCCCAAACTTTTCAAGAAAAAATTTTTTTAATTTTTTAATTTAAATTTTTTTACTCTTCAGCTGAAACAGTGCAGATATGATTTACTTAGCCACAATTGAGAGCAGAACTAGTCCAGAATGTCAGGTCCAGGGCAAAATGCCAATAGGTACATTTTTGGTGTGAACAAGAGGCATCTCCCAGGGGTGGCCTTGGCAATCTAATGGTGATAAAGTTTTGGCTCCATTGAGAGACACATTCGGGACAGGAGCATGCAGTCCAACAGCTTGTGCCAGTGTTCTCAGCCTCTGGCATCCTATGTTTCTCCTTTTGTGGCCTTTATATGTGCACAAGCAAGTGGTTTACTTAGATCTCTGCCTTCTCTTCTTTTGCACTTCAGTTGTGTATTTGATTCTTCCTCCACCTGGCACAGAAGTTTCTAGAAAATGTGCTAAGGCTGAGAGATTCAAATCTTTATATTTTATATATATATATATATAGGTGCTTGTTTTTTGTATTACAAAGGAAGTTTAGCATTTATTTTTTAACATATTATGGCACAAGGAATGTTATGTAACAACAAATAATTAGAAAACATTAGAACAAATACAAATTTTATGGGCCAAGCACTCTCACACCTGTAATCCTAGCACTCTGGGAGGCGGAGGCAGGTGGATTACCAGAGCTCAGGAGATCAAGTTCAGCCAAAGCAAAAAAGTGAGACGCTGTCTCTACTATAAATAAAAAAACTAGCCCAGTGTGGTGGCAGGCACTTGTAGTCCCAGCTACCTGGGAGGTAGAGGCAAGAGGATCACTTGAGCCCAAGATGATCTGTGAGCTAGGATGCCATGGCACTCTTCTCAGGACACAGAGTGGGACATGGTCTCAAAAAAAGAAAAGAAAAATGTTATGTACCAGTAACAAATTTATACTATTTATGCATCACAGAAGGCCAGGAGTTCATCACTGTCAATATCAGAAGTGTAGTCTTCTTGGATTTCTACATTGCCAGTGTATTCTGAAGAATCACTTTCTTCATCTAATACATTTCATCATCCTCAGTTCCATCCATAGCATTTCTGATGCTACATTTTTTAAACGATTTCACAACCACTTCCTTCTTAACAGCATTTCATGACCTTAGGATCCAATCACAAACTAGGCAATAAATGCTTTCTTGATTCTGCCTGCAGGTGTTAAATCATTCTCAGGTGACTGCATCCATGACATCCACTTTCTTTTGGGGGGGCTGGAAGAGACTCACTTTGTTGCCCTTGGTAGAGTGTCATGGCATCACAGCTCACAGCAACCTCAAACTCTTGGACTCAAGTGAGTCTCTTGCCTCAGCCTCCCAAGTAGCTGGGACTACAGGTATCTGGCTATTTTTAGAGATGGGCAGGGGGGTCTCACACATGCTTAGGCTGGTCTCAAACCTTTGAGCTCAGGCCATCCACCTGCCTCCACCTCCCAAAGTTCTAGGATTACAGGTGTGAGTCACTGTGCCCGGCCCAACATCCACTTTCTTCATTAGGGTCTTAAAGGGCTTGTTTAGTGACA